TCCAAAAGGCATCAAAACGTGTTAAGCTAAACGGTTTTTAGGGGACACGTGGCAAGAAGGGGAAGCGTTTTCACTCCGAAAACCACCCACGCTTACCCCTAAACACCCACGTAACGACACTGGCATTTAATGCTTCCGACACTTAAACGTCTAATCCACCGTTCTTAAGCGGCTAACACTCATGGTGGTACTTTGACATGATTATCGCGGCAAGTAGAAAAGACAAATCAGTTGTACACTACCGCGCTTCGAACAGCATAAAGCTCACGGCTTTGCCACATGACAAAACCGCAAGCTAGGGGGCAACTGATCCGGATAAAATACAGGCCCAATAGAGGCCCAATGACATACGGAGAAGCCCAATCCATCAAGGACTCGGAACTAGAGAACGGTAGACAACGCGTGTCAGCCGCGATGCCCCCACCGCGACAGATAAGACGCGATACCCCTATCGCGGATGAAACCCCTTCTAGGGAGCAAACTTAAAGTCCAAGGCAAACCCACCGCGCCTTTATGCCAACAGACAACGGACAGCTCCAGCTTACCGCGACTCTACCACTAGACATCAGAGATGATGAGGCTACCTAGGTCCCATTACTGACTTGCAGTCCAAGGCTGGCCACTCAAAGTCCAAGCCGCCTCACTAAGGCGGCATCATAAACACTATAAAAGCAAACGATACAACATCAAGGTACGATCATCCTTTACATTAACAACATAAAACTTCTGCCTCTGATACTGACTTAAGCATCAGAGTGTCTTTGCAGGTAACCCCCCTCCCCCCAATTTGGTGTTAGCGTGCCAACATAAAGGACAAAGGCAAAGTACGATCCAATACACAACTCCAAGCCCAGACCAAGAACTTCGCAGACTACTCAACCGTGTGTGATTAGGCTCAATACATATTGGCCAGTCCATAGTGTATTTGGTCTGATCACCATCATTTAACATAATTAGCAGCTTATAATCATGTACAGAAATAAGAGCAACTTCTTAAATAAAATGCTTGAAAGTATCTTCCCAATCATTTTTGTACATGAAAACATACAAGTCGCAACAAAAATTTATTATTTTTCTTACTATTGATTCAAATGTCTAGCGCAAAGATTATTCGTAGTGGAACGCTTTCAGTGGGAGGAAAAAAAACAAAAGAAAAATGTTGGGCCATTATGCGAATTGATTGAATATTTAATATATAAGGTAAACATTCACAAATTTTTGGGTGAAAAAAAAAAGAAAACAAGAAGTTATATCTAGCCAGCAGATTTTATGCAGATTTTTGTGTGTGTTTTTAGCATATTTTGATTTTTTTATATTTTAGAATTTTTTTATTTTGAGCGGGTTGTCCCACAGCCCGCAGCCCATTCATAAAACGGGATGGGTTGCTAAGTTCAGCCCATTTTATCAAAATGGGCTGGGCTGGCCCGGCTCATTTTGGGCGGGCTGGGGCGGGCGGGCTCGTATTGCCAGCCATAATCTTTTGGCCTACCAAATAACTATTTTTAGTAACATTCCCGGAAAATTCATTTTCCTAACATATTTCTGGGAATCATATCCTCTGCCAAACGCTCCCTTAGTATCTAACATATTTTAGGATTTAATGTTTCTACGATGAATGTAGATAAGTTATTTACATTCGCTCTCAAAACGACATCATTTTGTGTTGAAAAATTAAAAAATTATAATTAAAAAGACTATTATAACCCTGAAATAAATTATAATTTCAAAAATACCTTGATTTCCGCCTTAAAATGAACTCGTTTTGGGCTCAATGTAGATAAGTTATCTACTGTTCTGGGAGATCCATGCAACCCAGGCCCAATGTCACAGGCCCAATAGCCTAAAAGCACCCATGTCAGCCCTACAGGCTAGAAACCACTGACCTCCCTCACCTCCTGTTTCCCGACAGGAATGTTCCCAAGGTAAGATACTTAAATGTCTTACCTAAGGATCAGACACCTGCAAGAAGATCCTTCCAAACCCCTAAATAGAAGATATCCTCTTGCAGAGCCAGGACAGCAATTGCCACCACGCTAACAGGGGGTATCATCCATGCGACAACCGAAAGGCAGATGACCCAAAATCTCCCAAGAAGAGTTGACTCTCCTCACCTACCCCGTGTGAGATGGACTCCTCCTCCTCCTATAAATAACCCACCCAACCCCCCCCCCCCCTACCACCAGGGGGAATAAGCAAAGGTACCGTTACTCTGATCTTTTACATAGCCTAGTCTTATCACACACAAATCACCATCCCCCTTGTCCCCTCCCCTTCCTGTTTGATACTTGGGACATGGCTGGCTAGCTTGGTCTGTTTACTCCCATTCTGGGAACATAGTGGGCTGATAGAATCCAACGGTACATCTACATTGACTATAGAAAAAGTGAACCCTATATTTTATATAACAAATTGAACTCCAATTAAACCTATCGATCTTGAACATCAAATTTTCAGGTTCAATTTGATTATATAATCAAGTGTTTAAAATATTTCAACTAGTTATTACTACCAATTCGAGCTGAACCTGCATCTATCGAGCTTTTCAATTCGACAGCGTTCTCTAAAATCAGGAACTGGTTATGGTAAAACCAATTCAATTTCTGGTCACCATAGAGAAAATCATCAATCCTAGAGACACCACAAGCGTTTCTCGATTAGTTTAAATAATTAATCCATTGGAGCATAAGCCAAATTACACAGAAGTGTCAATCTTAAAAATAAACTGGCTATTGGTAGCATTACACTTGTCATCTGCCAAACCATATCCCAACAGGAAAGATGCAGCATCCGTATATACCTGTATTATGAAACCATGCCCAAGGAAATTTTGCCAGTCCACATACAAGAAATAAAATTGTTGGGAAAAGTGTAAAAGACAGAGGAAATATTTTCTTTAAGGCTCAACATGCTTCATTTCTCATTCAGACAATAATTCAAGTTACAAAATATGTAACTCCACAAGAAATATATAAAGACAATTAACACCACTAAAAACACACATAACTCCTTCAGAAACATAAAAGACACATAACATTTAAACTAAAACAGTAAAAACAGCTTTAGCATTTAAACTAAATTAAAATAGCACATTATTGTAATAAAAATGTTCAGATATAAAAATTTACATTCATGAAAATAAAACGTGTATTCTGCAAATAATATCAATTGAGCTTCCAAAAGCAGTTCTTACCTAAATGGTGGGCACAAGTAATTTAATTATTTTTTTAGGAGGATAAGAGATCCTTGTGAAAAAAGAAAAAAGCAACAAAAAGAGAAAAAAAAAAAAAACATGAATGAATTAAAGCTTCCCAATCCCTCATCATATCTGTACGGGTAAAACTCCCCTAAAAAGGCCATGATCTTTACACAAGTGGAAGTCAAACGCCTAATGTTGTACTAGAGACATAACTCATTCAAAGAAATCTCCTTAAAAGATGCATGGATTATCCTGTGAAAAATCTTTAGCTTCATAATTACTTTGTGTTTACTATGACAAAAATGCCTTAATGCTCACAGGATTAAGAATACAGTCCAAAAAGTCATCTTTCAAGCAGTGATCTGCATAATGAAGAGTTTGAGAAGTCATCCATCTAGTTTTATTTTTACCATGCCATGTAATTTCTGAGGAATCACCTAAGCAACTACCTTCAAGACTCCTGCCATATCTTTTTCCATTTAGTTAGTTGAACATCTTTGATGTCGATCATTATTGAAGAATTGCTTTCTTGGCTACACATCACTATAATCTTTTTGTTTAAAACTTGTGTTGTTCTTTCCTGAATCTGCCATAAAGCCCTTCTAGCTTACAATTCTAAATTTGCCAGAGCTATTCACAGCACCTAAACAATCACCGATATGGTCCTCTCATTATGTCATTGCTTGAAAATCATTGGAAGCCTTACATACTATGAACCTATAACTCATCTGATTTCCAGACCCTAACTATCGGGCATTAAATAATTCAATTAATCTTACATCCCATTTCAATTTGCCTATCACAGCTAAACCACATCTATACTACATCACATGCAACAAGTTGAACATCTGAATTGGTTGTAGGCATGAAATCAACAGAATGAAATAGGAATATTCAGTGGGATAATGCCATATATATATGGTGGAAAAAACAGATATACAGGGCCTTGCATTTATGGTTATTGTAGAGCAGATTTTAGGAACACAGGTACTCATTTAAGGGAATATTTAACTCTGTCCGTGTAGTATTACACTTTTCTAGATTCAACTATAATATTTGACTTATTCCGGCTGTGTCAGATATGTAAACAAACAACAATAAAATAAATCAATGGAGAAGTATGAATAGACAGACAACTGCATGCACAGACACAATCTAATTACATTACACGAGTAAAAAACTTCATTTAAGTCAAAGAAGATAGGATTTACTCCATACTATAGTCACCATATCTTAATTTTGTACAAAACTTACTTCTCAAGTTTTATATAAACACTAGTGGCAGCACGAAACAGATCAAAGGTCAATTGTTCTCTTCCATCCTCTTCAAGAATTGTACATGCATCTGTATATAGATGAATAGCTTCTTCAGACATACCATTTACACCCTCAATCTATAGTCCTTGGTGGAGGTACCCTATGTTTCTTTCTAACCAGGTATCAGATCAAGGGTATAAAAACCAATGGATTTCTTGATGGGGCTCATGATTGTAGGAACTATTTCACTACCTTGAGACATCAAATTGACAATGGAAAATTCTTTAACAGTGGATAGAATTTTCTTTAAACATTACTAATTAAATGAAGTGGACCAAAGAGACACACAAATGAAAAATTATGCTCTCAAAGTGAAAGCACTTACTGTGGATATAGGGCAGAGAAAATCGCACTAAAACATGAATTCTAAAGAAATATGGGGGCTGAGAAATCCAAATGAAAGTGTACATCCCTCTTCCTCACACAAGTAAAGTATCCATAACAACTAGAAAATCTTGTGTATTCGCATTCCACAGTTTACCACTGAAAATGACTTTTACATGTACTCGCTTGGATAGGGTTCATGAACAGGGGCCATGCTAATCTTCTCTGTATCGTTCCAATTTTATCGGAAGTCCCCGAAGGGACACTCATTGCATGTGGCCTCGGCTATATATTCTGACAAGTTTTTGTAGTGTTTAGCGGTGTGGGACTTCTGACATCCAGTACAGGTGCTATAGCCAAAACAATGGAGGATGTCTCACATACACATTTCGCTCAAGTTCTTAGCTCTCAGTCCTTTACTCCTTTTCACTTGATTGTAAAGAACAAGAAACCTTGTACTAAAAAAAAAACAAGAAACCGCTTCAATAAGTGGGAACGAAAATCTGGTGTCAAGAGTTAGCGACATTTGTTTAACATAAATCATTTTGGGCCAGAGCAGGTACTTAGAGTTAAGCCCATTAGCTAGCTATGTTACTTCATCATAAAATATTACGACCTTATGTTTAATTTTATGTTTGATGTTAATTTCCTTATGCACTTTATATTTCGGAAGTTTAAATAGCCAAGGGTGGCATATTAGAAACCATGAGAAAATTCTCAAAATTTCCTCTCTTCTTCATTTCTCAACTCACACTTCTCTTGTCAGGGGCAATTAAACAATCCTTAGCTCGCCCCACATGCTTGGAGGGAAGGCACATGTTCCTGGTTATGACATGTATTGTGCTAAATATTAGCATTGGACAATTGAGTCCTATCACACGAGAAATATTTACATTTTATGGGAGGGGAGGCAAAACGGGTCCGCCTATCCCGCCCTGACCGGCCGTCAACCTGCCAAAAATGGATTGGCTCGTCTCGCCTCGCCTCTTGAATGTGGGTTGAAAATTTCAACCCACCTCGTTTTATGGCGGGTTGGCGAGTCGACCCGCCTAAAAAATAAAAGATAATTAAAAATTAAAAATAAATTATATTTTATTAATTTCATAATATGAGTTATTATTTCACACTTCCCTTAGTTATTTTTAATCTCAAGTCTAAATGTTACTAATATTCAATCAAACATTCTTTAGGAACTTATTTTTGTCTCCATATAAAGATAACATTTGTCATAAGTAAATGTTTTCTTCTTTATTCTTTCTAGGGAGTGCTAAGATAAAAATAAAAAAAATTGAAGATTACAAAAGCTTAAAGACAAATAAAATACTATCTAATAGTTAAAAAAAAAAATGACCCGGCGGGCCAACCCGCCGTCAATCTGTTTTGACCCACAACCCGATGGGGCGGGTCGAAATGTGTAACACAACCCAACCCGTTTTGGCGGATTGAGGGGTTAACCCATCGAATTCAACCCATATTGCCACCTCTATGAACAGTGGCAGAGCCATGTGTATTTTGGGGGTGGCTTCGGCCCGGGCCAAATTTTAACAATTTGTACTTATTATATATAATTATATAATTAATTATAATTTGGTCCGGGTTAAAATTATAACTTGGCCCGGATTACAATTTGTAATTTGGCCCTATCTAAAACTTAAAATGTTTTTAATAAAAGATTTGGGTAAGTTGTATTAGGTTACGTGTTCAATTTTCACTTATATAACATATATATATATATATATATATATATATATATATATAGTAAAATTAAAAAAAAATTAATAAAATTATAACTCTTCTTAGTACTGCCTACTCAGGTGCTCTATATTTAATATAATTTAAATGTATTATGATATGAATTAACTAAAATTAAGAAAAATAAATACACATATAATTTTTCGGCCCAAGCTCAAATTGGAGCCCGGCTCCGCCATTGTCTATGAGACCAATACTTAACTATAAATTTTATCTAAAAGTTTATTTATAACTTAAATAAATTTAATCTGATTGCACAAAATCATTTTAAGTAATCTGTTATATTTTTAGTGCATCAATTTAATACTCTCCAAATGTATAAGAATTTATGCTGCACACTTCTTTGAGTTTAACTACTTTTAGGAATATTGACCATGTTGATATGTTTTACAAAAATATGTACCAGGATATTATGGGGCCAGAAATTTTGTCCATGGTCACAAACTTGTTGTCAGGTTTAAAATGACCAAACTTGCTATTAGTGGCAGTGAGTTTGGAGATCAAACGATCTTTACACCAGGTACACATGTGATTTATGTATGAATATAAAAGGGAGATTTTCTAATACTTAAAAATGAAGACAGATCAATAACTAAGCAAGATGTTTGGTTGCACAGGGCCAATGCCATAACTTCTAAATTTCAGCCAAAGCAGACACGAGACAAGAAGAGAAGAGAAGAGATTAAACTGAAGAAATTTTCACACTTATCTTTTCCAGAAGTTTACAATTGTCTATTTTTTGGCTGTGACAATCATTATACATGTTGGATATATACACTTGTTTTTTGAGCAGCAATCCAGACACAGAGAACAGGATATCATTGGTCATGGATTTTGAACTTGAGAGGTTCTAAGTCCATCTAAACTATATAAGTACTGATCCTCCTGAATATGTTTGGGACTTCCTGCTTCATAATCCAAGAGTCCTCCAATATCCAGTAATTTTAGAGTAACAGAGGTAGTAATATAATACCACTTTCAATTAATCATTTTATAACCTAGCAAATACTAACCAAGCTTCATGCACCCCAACTTTGAGGTGTAAATAGATGCACAATACCCCAGCTTGAGTTCAAACTTGCAACTGAATATTTTTTTAAACAAAATCAAATAATATAATTAAAACTATAATTTTATTATTATAAAATATTATATATAACTAATCGAACTAAAATGAAACTTATGGATCTTGAACATCAAAAATTCAAGCTCGGTTTGATTATATAATCAAGTCTTTTAAAATAAGGGTAAATTACATATTACCCCTTGTGCTTAGATCATTTTTCAAAAATACACCCTACCCTGCACTTTCAATTGTTGCAATTAACCTCTTTGCACTATGTAATTTTAACAACTAAGCATATCTGTTAAAAAATTTCAAAATCTGTTACTGTGCTTCCCATTGAAAGTGAAAAATGTTTCTCTCAGCATCTCCTCTCTCATCCGTTGTCTTCTCATCCCACCTCTAAATCTTCTCACCACCTTCAGTGTGTTATCATTTCACTTCAATGTCTACCCAAATCTGTATTTTGTTCTTCCTTCTTCTTTTTTCCTTGGCTTTCTTCTTTCTAAGTATTTTCCCTTTCCTTTTTTTTATGCACTTTTTTTTCTGCACTTAATTTAATCCTTTTGCGAAGAATCAAAAAGGGAGGGTGTAATGTCTAGGACAGTGTCCTTGGAAAATTTTGAATGTGGTTCCTGGGCTTCTGCAGCAATGTTCCAAAAGAATTGATAAAATGCAGTACCAGTGAAGTACATTCTACTGTTGCTGCATCTTTTGTCTTTGAAAAAGACCTTAAAGGGGTTCTGAAAAATGGTTTTTGTTAGGTCCTAGATAGACCGTATTACTATACCGTAAGGTATGTGCTCAGAGATAGTGTATATCAACTGTATACTAGGCTTATAGCCGAGGTCCCAATCACTGCGCACAAGCAATAGGCTTATAGCCAAGGCGTGGGTGTGTGCACAGCGTGGGTGAAAGTAGTAAATGTGTTATGAGTGTTTACCTGGGGTCCTTAGGCTCTTATTTATAGGATTACCTTCCTAGGCTGGTGCCTTTTGAGATCCCCCAATTGTAGTAGGATTCCCCCTCCTTCTGTTGGGATGTGATCCTTATCTTATACCCTTTGGCTGTTTGGAGTTGTTGAGATGTTGCTGATTCCATATCTCACCAGATATTCTAGTAGGTAGTTGGGATATGATATTCATATCCATAACAGTTGCCCCCCAGCTCGGTATTCCGGGGTCCGGGATGTCGAGGTGCCATTGTGTTATCACGGATTCAGTTTATCCGCACTCGTTGTTCTAATGTTTGGACTTCCGAGTTTTTCGAAGTCAGCGTTCTGACTTAGTTGTTTTGCCGAGATTACGTCCACCACGCCTCTTGACCTTTCATGGTGTTTGCGTTTGAAGTCGGATGTAAGCATGTCGGATATTTTTCTGAACTTATTGTGAACTTTTGGCTACCATTGACCTGAGCTTTGCTTTCCTAGTGCTGGATCGAGTTGACGTTCTAAGTCATGTTGCAACCTTCAGCTACGCCCTATTTTTCCCGACTTTTGAAGTCTAGGCGTTGTTTGAACTCGGAAATCGAAATTTGGCCTTATTGTTTTACCATGTCCTTTCGTGTCACGTTTGCTGTGACGGTTAAGGCGATCCACGTGTTTTGCGCTCGTTGGCAGTTTGTGCATCGTGCAGGGCGTTCAGCTTTACTTTTGTGCAAGTTATGATGAAGTGCATTTAATGCATTCAGGGTGAAATCCCCTTTTTGCCCTCCATCACTTAACCGTTTGGGAAAAACTCTTCGCCTTCGCGCCTCCAGCAATTCGTCGTCCTTTAAATACCACCTTTCGCATGGGTTCAAAACTTTTACATTCGTCTGGTTCCGCAGTGAGCTTTTAATCGTTTTCCAGTTCTGGTTCCGCGTTTCATAAACTCTCTTGGAGCTCTCCTCACTTCCAGTGAAGGTTTTCACGCATTGAGTCTAGTTCCCATCATCCTTGCTTCTAAGTTCAGGTACCTTCCTATTCTCTTTGCTTTTACGAATCTCTTTTTGGTTGGGTTAGGTTGCATTGAGTAGTTACCTCTGTTTAAGCTTGAAGGTGAGGTATACATTTTCTTCTTCGAAGTGTTGAGGGTTTCTTTCCTGTTCTTGGGGGTTTATAATGAGTGCCCCTAGTTCTCCCTCTGGTTCGGAATCCAGTCTACGTGGCCAGGAAAGGGAAGAGGAAGAGGTGGTGAGTCGGTTGCCTCGCTCTGTTCAGTACTGGTTTTTTGGTAGGGAATACACCGAAGAGGAGAAGCGTCAACAGCTTCTCCGCGGTCCTCGTGGAGGCCACCATAGTTCTCGTGGAGGCCGAGGTAGGAGGGGAGTAGGTCGGTCAAGAGGGGGTCGTCAATCCCGACTTAACCTTGGTACGAGTAGTCCTCCTTTAGTGAATCCTTCAGCTCTCAGATTGAGCTCCTCTCCTGAACCAGTCCCGCTGTCGTATATACTGCCATCCTCTAGGGTG